CGCACATGGCAGGATGTTAATAGGTATGGCGTCAAAAAGGGTTTATGGGCAACTGCTTTAGAAATGCAGTGCTATTCAGGAATCCTTACTGCAGGCTTCCCCAGAGCTCCTGGGCACTGTGGATTTCCTAAGTTATTTTACCATAAGGTTTCTTTGTTGGGAAAATGGTGCTATGTCCATTGCATTCCTTTTCTTTTTTTAAGTAAAAGGGAATAAATGTATTGAAGCCCATACAGGAAACCCTAGAGGGGCTCAGCCCAACATACCTTACTGTGTAGGCATGCCAGGCAAAGGGTCACACCATTCACTGTACCCCCATGTCCCAGAGGGGCTCCCCTGGAGCCAAGCCTCAAAGCCCCAGGACTGGCTGGGGGTGGGGACACAGTGCCCATTGCACTCATACACCACTGTTGGGAGGGATGCTGGTACCCGACATCATTAATAAGCACGTTCCAGTGGAGGCTACGCTATTCGGATGTGGTTCAACAGGTGTTTCATTTCATACTTCTTTTCCTTGACCCTTATCTGTATATTTGGAAACCCAACCCGTGGAGTTGTGGCGTGCACAACCACCATCCCCTTACCCCCAAGTTCCCCTCACTATGGATGATAATCAGATACTTCTTACTGTGCCTATCCATTTGATTATGGACTCCATGATAGGAAGACTTTTAACTTCTGTTCTGTCAACCTAGAAGGTATCTCATCCACTTCAGGAACTTGGGCATATATTTTTAATAAAGTAGTAGCCAATAATTTTCAGATCAATTGAGAATTTAAATTTATGTCTGACATCCTCCAGTTAAGCATAACATTAATTTTCCTTTTTTTTACTTTAATGAATTCATCATTGATATAATTGGAGCACTTGCTGTTGACGATCAAGGATTGCAGTCTTCTGTATGGATCATAACACAATGTACAGAAAATCAAATTCCCCTCTAGTGGACCAGTAGGTAACATCATGATAACTGGGGGAAAGATAGACGTTGCCAGGGATTTTTCTTGCTTAGCTGTACAATCAGTGCTCATGGAAGCAGTAGTCACGAGATCAAATGACAGATCGCATTGGGGAAATCTGCTGCCCAAGACCTCCTGAAGTGTTGATGACGAGGGATGTCCCTTTGAGGACGAAGGTGCACCTGATCATCTCTCACTGCTATTGAGTCAGTGCTGTGACTTATAAGTGACTTATAAGCCCCTGTGGGTTTCTGGGACTGTAACTGGTTATGGGAGTAGAAAGCTCAGTCTTTTTTCCCCTTGGAGCTGCTGGTAGTTTCGAACTGCTGACCATGTGGATCACAGCCCAAAGAGTAATCTTGACATCACAGACCCAAGTTATGCTATTTTCAATGACCTCATATGCATGTGAAAGTTGGACCTTGAATAAGGAAGACCAAAGAATTGACAGTACGCTGTGGACTATCAAAAAGAACAAGCATCTATCTGTCTTGGAAGAGATACAGCTAAAATACTCCTTAGAAGAGAGGATGGTGAGACTTCATCTCATGTCCCGTGGATACGTTATCAGAAATCACTCCCTTGTGAAGGACATCATGCTTGGTTGACGGGCATGGGGGGGTGGGGGGAGAGAAAGACCTTTGACAACATAGGTTGACACATTTGCTGCAGCAATGGGCTCAAATGTAACGACTGCGAGGATGGTGTGGGACCGGGCTGCTTCGTTCCCTGGCCCACTGGGTTGCAATGAGCCAGAACTGGCTCGAGGGCACCTAACATTGACAACCACCGGCATCATTGGGATATTGAGTCTGGCATATGTTTTGTTCTTTTTTTGTGCCAAGCAGTGTTTTCTATCAGATGGCAGTGATTATATAAGCCTGCTTGGTGAGAGTCAGGCAGCAAGAAAGGGGCACATCCAGGTCCGCTAGAACAGAACCCACGACCTATGGGTCATGACCCCTTTGGGGGTCAAATTACCCTGTCACAGGGGTCACCCGGTTCATAACAGTAGCAAACTGACAGTTATGAAGTAGCAACAAAATTAATTTTATGGTTGGGGGGGTCACCACCATGAGAAACTGTATTAAAGGGTCACGGCATTAGGAAGGTTGAGAGCCACTGCTCTAGAACCAAGCGGTGTTTCTGAGAAAGTAATTCTGAAAGGCATGTGTGGGTGTCCGGTTTCATGTGGGGTGAGAATGGTTCATGCGAGTTCAGAGTAGAATGAAGAAGACTGCTCTTGACGTTGAAGGGCGACGCAGGTGAATTTCTAGGCCTCTCGTTTAGTTCTCCCCAACCGTTTTCGTTTATTTTCTCAAAGGGGTGAAAATAATGGATGTGAAACAAACCTCTGAAATCAATACTTTAGATGTCTCAAAATAAAAACAAACATTTTTTCGAAAAGCATTCTCAAAGAACCCATGATCATTGCATCTCATAGCAGCTTGGGGGGCCTTTGGGTTTAATTACAGATGTGGCTCTTGTGACTTCTGAACTGGGGACAGAGCTATTCTGGGGACCATTTGTCAGCTCCTTTTTCCTACCTGCTCCCACATAACATTCACCAACGCCGCTGGGAGAGTATCTGAACCCAGGCATGTGGGTTATCGGCAAACCCCCTAATACACAAATACAATGCCTTGGAAGGCCTGACAAATGAGAGCTTAGCACCCCATTGGCCAGCTTACGGAAAGTACAAATAAATCCTGTTTCTACAAAAGCTGGGGATGAGGCTATCACATGAATATCCTACTCATTTGGTCAAAGTAAACCACCTCCTGTATCTATTTCACATTCTTATTGCTAAAACTGAGTGACAATTCAAGCTGGCCATTCTCCTGTTCAGTTATAATACTTTTATTCATTTATATCCCCCCTTGTTTTCCCTTTTTCCTTACCATCAGCCTGACGTCTTCTCCTTTTCTTGGGCGTCTGGGCACACACGTGCTGCTTTTCTTTCTTAAATTGGATGAGAATGATCTCCTTGCCCTTTGTTGAAAGCAGTTTCCCTCCTATTGTACTGAGAAAAAGCTGTGGGCATGAGGCCCAGGGAAATGAGCACGCTAGCGTTTGAGCCCCCAGTCCTGCGCTTGCCCCACCTTGAAGTGGACATGGTCGAAGAAAAGAAACACAAAGAAAAAAACCAGAGCTGTGTGTCAGAGCAGAAGCGGGCACTGTGGGGATCTCTGTCACTCTGGTCTTTGCACCTCGGGGCCACCTGAAACTTCCCAACTTTGTTACAGGCCAAGCATCTTGTTTCCATCACGCAGGGATTCCTCGGTATGGTCAAGCTCCGCGGAAAAGCTCCTAGCCCTCAACCTACCATAAGTGTAAAACACCAACAGCAGTGAGGGCCCCGTTCATCACTGGAGCGACACCTTCTATCTTGGCGCTTTGGAGTGTCTCCCACGAGAGAGAGAGTGAATCTACCCCCACACCTGACTGGGAACTTGCTTTTCCCATCAGAAGGCAATGGAGGTGGTGATGGGCCAATTCCTAGGAAAGCCATCCACCTGCCCTTCCGTATCTCAGGCTATGTTATCCCTGTTAGGCGCTTAGTGACAGAAAGAACCCACTGAACCGTCCCTTCCCATATCAACCAATACTAAGCATGTGTAGCCAGGCAATACTAAACGTGTGAGCCAAGCAGTCAAGATCATCTGATCCAAGGTGAGTCACAAAGGTGAATCCAGCAGAGATGAACAGTGCCCTGCCCAGATGAGCCGGACCTGTAAGCTAAATCAATGCTCATTGTTGAATTTATTACTGTAATGAAGCCTTATGAAAGTAGATAACTGGTACCATGGGCAATAGGATATCATGTGACTGAGCCTGCTGCTTGGCCTCTGTACGGGCTCAAAATAATCACTTAATGTCACAAAAGGCACAAAGCAGCAATGCTTGCCAATGAAGCTTTCAGACTGGCTTTGGAACTGCAGGATGAGCGCTGGGCTGCTAACTGCAAGGTCAGAGGTTCAAAACCATAAGCTGCTCCGGTAAAAAGATTGAGACTGGGAAACCCTATACAGGGTCACTGAGTTGGAAATGACTCTATGGCCGTCGTTTGATTTTAATCTTGTTTTGGTTCATAGAAGACGGTGTGTCGCCAGTGGTGTTTCCCTATGTTTCCATTGAACTCTCAACTAAGGAATTTAGAAAGGCCTCTGAAAACATTTCCCTTCTGCAACTGGGGGGAAGGGGGGCAGATAGTCAAGAGAAAGCTACATTTAAAAAACGTATAAATATCTATCTATAGATTGCATAATCAGATACACTATATGCATGTGATATATGTGAATGATACAGAGAAGTAACAAGGTGAAGGCGTAGTATAAACATGTTTCCATTTGTCCTCACTACCATTTTCAACTCTCAACAGGTTGCAGAAAACCCAAGAGGATTTTCTTAAGAATGATTAATGTGAATATTACTTGGAGATTGACAGATGTTTTGAATGGGCATTCATCTGAATGTTTCCGTTTCCTTTATTTTGACAAATTATATTTGGGGGGAAGGATGGCTTCCTATTTCATAGCTAGCTATTAACTTTAGAATCAAGTAACATTATTTTCGACAGTTCCCCAGTAGATGGATTCAGACATTTATTAAATCTACTACTAGTAACTAAAATCCAATGCACGTCAAAAAAGCACATTATTTAAAAGCTGAGGCTAAGCGCGGATTTAAAAGGGGAATTGTCATGAACCAAATGCCGGCAGCATCTCGGTAGTAGAAACAAACAAAAGGCCCAGGAAGCCTCACATACATTTCTTTAACAGCCAGCACTGTTTTCCACCAACAAGCCATCAACCTATAAAGGAAACCGAGAGTTATGTAACTGCGTGCACATGTGACAAAAGGCAGAGTGGCGCAGGGACACAGGCTTGGGAAATTAGAAACCATTTTGGGATGGAGCAGAGGCTGCAGGAACTGTGTCAATGTATCGAGATATAGGTTCCTTCTCCATTTCACTGTCATAAAGGTACATTTGACACTTGGATTCTGTCAGGGAGCGCGGCTGAAAAACAGCAACGTCATCGTGTGTTAAAATTACTTTTATTCAGGATGAAAAATACAGCATGTGACCAGATTAGATGATGGTCTGTGATTAGCTCTTCAGCACATATTTTAAAAGAATTACATATTTACTTTTCCCCTTGGTGTTACTGCAATAGGCTTCTTTTTATTTATTCTTACTCAGAAGAAGGTTACAATGTAGTGTTTTTAAGTAGCTGCCCCTTAATAGTGGAGGGCACTTTGCATACAAACACAGGCAGAAAAAAAAAACCAATTAGTACATAACTTTGCAAAGTAAGAACACAGAAGACACCCAATCTACAACGTGGCGTGCAGAGTTCGGGGTTTTTTCCTCTATGTCGGTGCCTGTCTGGGTAGGTGTGGCCTGGTGAAAGCGCTAGGCTTTGCCAACAACAGCTGCATCAAGCTGTTTCCGGCGCGATGGATGAAGATGAGTCTGAGGTAGAAAGGTGGTCACGGCTTCCTCTTCTATAAAACAAGTTTCTTCTTCTCAAAATAGCTATGCTGCAAATAGACACCCTCGTCCCCCCCGCCCCTCTACCCACCCAACCTAGTCTAAAAGAATAGCAATTTCGAACTTTAAGACTCCTTTCTGGCCAGATCCCAGCTAAAGAGACCCCAAAGTTAAGATGTCCTTTAAAAAGATGTTCGAAAAGCGCCTACGACACTGGAATCAAATCAAAGCACGTCATTGTGACTCGTTTGTGTTTGGGTTTGTCTACATTTGGTAATTAAATGGCATGTTTAAATGGGGTCAATTACATGTGATACCAGAAACTGACCCAAATACCTCACTGAACGCACTCAAAGCTACGAGCAGGGAACCACCACGTAAGCAGTAACTTTCTCCTTTAGACTCCATGATAGAGGCTTTTGACAAACATCTTCTCAAATGTATTGATCAAATTAAGGATATTCAAACACCTGCTCATTCACCCACCAAGGGGAGATGACATAGGCACTAAATTGGATCTGTTGACCTCTTAGAATGAAAATTACTGTGAGTTTCAAGTATTATAACGAGCTTGAAAGGCATAAGTCATAGCAAAAGTGTCTTCAAAGGGAACTGAAAATAATATGCTCTTGTAGAATTAGATGAAAGTCTAGTGTGAATTCATGAGTGAAAGTCAACAGGTGTGACAGAAGAAAGGTTGTCTATAAAGTCTGTGTCCGTGTCAAAATGAACAATTGCTTCATGGGACAACCTTTGGTAGAACGATCTTTGAACTCATAATTCTGTTGTACGTCTCCCCTCATATAGACTCGGACATGAAATAAAGAAACTGTGACTTACTTCTCTAAGGCAGAAAAAACAAAGGCAGGGGGAGCTCCAGGGGATTTCTCAAGGCAGGTATCAAAGTGGTCACATGAAGGAAGGAAGTAGATGATACCAAACAAAGGTCACCTGTACCCACAGAGCTGTATGTAGTCTACTCCCCATAGCGACTGAATAGCTGACGGAAATATATGAACCTACTGATTTGGCCAAATTACAAAGAAAAAAATACAGAAAAATCTATTTGGTCATATGGCTGATGAATCATAAATAACCAAAATGTAATGGTGAAAGGGTCAAAAAGATACATGAAATTATTGTACAAGGTTAATATGAACAGCAGAAGGAATGTAAAAATGAAAAACTTTCTTCTAACTCTTATGCAATGTTTGACATGATTAATGAAAATGTATAGTATTAGAAAGCCCCACCCACGTTCCCAATGCTGTATACATTATACAAATCAGTGACAAATGTATTACCATTTCCAAATACCACTCTGTTCATTAATTTACAGTTGCATAGAAAGGGACGAAGAAAATAATATATGGTTATTATAAAAACAAAAATATCCTTTTCTCTTTGGATAGTCAGTGTTTTACTCCTTCAGAAGAACACACAGTCCCCACTCAACGGCACGTGTCACAGAGCCATGCAGCTTCTGATTAAATGGAACTTGGAATTGGCATTTGCTGAAAAGGGCAATACTGTAACGTCAGGAAATGTCGATTGGCTGGATGACTACTTCACATTGCCTGTGGGAATGGAAAACAGCACTGTCAGACAGTGTGGATGTGATGCACTCCAGAGCAGCGGCCTGTCAACTCCTCCAGAAAAGGAAAGTGCTGATGTCAAACCCTTTGCATTGCGTCCAAAAGGGCTCCCTTGGGATTCCCATATGGCTGTGGCCCCAAGGTTGAGGCCCTTCCTTCTGGAAGTCACCTCATCTGCTTTTCAGCCTTGCAGCGGAGACAGAGGGAGGTCTGGAAACCATCGCTCTTGCCAAGGATGGAGCCCAACTGGAAGTGGAGAGGATGCAGCTGTTTCCAGCTGGAGGTACCAACGGTGAGTGAGCTCCACTGGTGTGAGAAACCAGTATCTCCCCAGTGGCCTCAGGCAGCTTCCTGAAGAGGGGATGCCCTGACCCTGTGCCAACCCCAACAGGGACTCAAGAGAAGAAGAGCCCAAGACAGGGGTTATAATCCAAAGGTCTACGCCCTGGTGACAGTTAAAGGGTTGGGGGACAATGTCCACAGGCAAGAGAGCATCTAAATCTGGACCACCCTAAGGGCAGTGGCACAAGTGTTCAAAAGTCAGATGACTTGTTGAGTTTTTAAAATTGTTTGCACTGGAAATAGGTTTAAGCCCCAGT